TCCAAGAGCTTTAGATGATCCTAAATTATTTAAGCACCTTTTTTAAAATGAGGTGTAAAATTGTTGCTTATTAAGCAAGTGACATTTGGACAAGCTATTGGTCCCAAAGGAAAACTACAACAGGTAGGATAGAAAGGAACTCAAATGCATACAGTTTGTTTTGGAGGCAGCAGGACGTCCTGGACCAACAGCTCTTGTCTGTCCCTGAAAAGTACAGCAGTGAAACTTTACCTTTCAGTGCTGTGTCACTTTGAGAATTTATCATTTTGGGTATTGGCAGCAGGTGTTTGAGGTTTCCACCAGCTGTGAAATTGAGAAACCCCAATTTCTCAGTGTGAAACAATTAGAAATTTCACAATGAAGATTTATTTCATTTCTGCACTGTGGCTCCGGAGTGTAGTTTTTCTTTTAACCCTTTGCACTCACGCTTGCTTTTTTCTCGATTCCTTTATTCTACTCGGGATCTAATTTTTTAAATACCCCCAGATTTTACAAAGTGCAACAGTAGAATAAAAAACTGGAGTTTCTTTTCATACAAACTTATTTATTTGGATTTTTTTTTATATTTCAAAGTATTGATACATTCAAAGAGTAACTTTAATCTCTATAATTTTTCATGGTGTGATATTTTTTGAACCATTCACCCACATGAAGACCTGGTTTACATTCACATGTTTTGCCAGTATAAATCGTCTCTCTTCTTCCTCCTTTGATTTTTCTGTTAGAACAAACAACACAATCTTTGTGTTTTTTGTTAGGGTGAGGTGTGATTACATGGAGCTTTCCATCTAAACGTTGCTCTAAGTTAGTGGATAACAACCTACCCCTGGAAGTTAGTGTACCATCTCTGCATTTACATTTTACTTGTCCTTTCATGCTAATGAAAACAAGAGAAGATACTGGAAAGACAGACAAAAATCCCCCCCCCCCACGGTGGAACTCCGTGTCGAGTGTGGCTCCACATACGAGCCGCCACCGATGCTCACCGCGTCGAGTCACACTCGACATCCGAGTGCAAAGGGTTAAGTGTTTTCCTTCCACATTAAATATAGCCACCAGTTTGGTGGAAAACATTTTTAAGACAACTGAAGGAGAATGATGTCCAAGACGCTGGAGAGAAGGGAAATGTGGACTTTGGTGTTTTAAGAAGGCCAGGCTGTCTGAAGCCTCTTGGCTGGTGCCGCCTCTGCGGCCTGGCTGGCGCAGGGCTGCTGTGCCGGCGTAGGGCTGCTGTGCCGGCGCAGGGCTGCTGTGCTGGCGCAGGGCTGCTCTGGAGGCCAGCCCTGCCGGTTCATGCCCTTCTCGCCACCATCTGTAGGGCTGGCGGTTGCAGCTGAAACCACAGTAGCCCAGCTGTGCTGCTGTTAATCAGGTGGGTTTCAGTGAAATCAACAGAACCTGCCACTTCATGGGTCAGCTGCGGCCCCTCTGGGGAAGGGGCCAGTGTGCCTTGTCATTCAGGTGGGCGGGGTTCTCAGAGACAGCACCTTAATAACGCTGATCCAAACTGCCAGCCAGACTGTCACCCAGGAGCCAGGATGGAGAATTATTTATTTATGTTTGAGACAGGGTCTTGCACTGTGACACAGGCTTGAGTTCGGTGGTGTCAGCCTAGCTCACAGCAGCCTCAAACTCCTAGGCTCAAGTGATCCTCCTGCCTCAGCCTCCCAAGTAGCTGGGACTACAGGATGTACCACCACACCAGGCTAATTTTTAAATTTTTTGTAGAGATGGGGGTCTCACCAGGTTTCCCAGGCTGGTCTTGAACTCCCGGGCTCAAGCAAGCCTCCTGCTGCAGCTTCCCAAAGTGCTGGGATTACAGGCATGAGCCACTGCACCTGGCCCAGGATGGGAAGTTAAATGATAAACATGCCCCTAACTAAAAGTCCAGAGCTTAAAAAATAATGAGCTGTCATTTCTGTGTTTGCACGGAGGGATTCCGGCATCATCTCTTTCCCTATTTAAGTTTTCTCAGCCTCCTTTTGTTTAGTTTTTAGCATGTTTACATTTCCAAGGAGCCCTATTTGGCTTCCATGTAGAGACATAAAAACAGGAGAAAGGAAGCAATATGGTTCTACACATTTCCATAAATGAAATCAAACCAGAAGGGCTCAGAAGTCTCCGTGCCACTTGGCCCTCAGGCAGCCCTTCCCTGCAAGGCCTAGAACCCAGCCAGGGGTCAGGCTGAGGCTGCTACCCAGGGCAAGCTGGAGCACACACCCAGGAAGGTGACTGATGCTTGTCAACTTGGACTTCTGTCTTCTCTGACGCTGGCTTGTTCTGTAGACGACCAGTGAACATCGGGTCCCTCGCGTGTGGCAGGCACCGTGCTGGTTGCTGGTGACAGGGAGACCAGCCCAAGGTGCCTCCTAGCCTCAGGTTCCCACGGGGCACCTGGGGAGACCCGCAGGTGACCGCGCAGTTACTCTGCAGATGGCGAAGGCGGCAGAGGTCAGGTGGGTCTCTGGGGGCCTAGAGGTAGGACCAGGGCCCGCTGTCGAAGAGCAGGTGGCCTTTGCCTGGGTGGGCTTTTCTACACGCAAGCCTGGAGGTGGGCAGTGCTGTGCGGCCGTGTGGGGTCGTGTCGGCCAGTGGGGCTGGCACGAGGGTGTGTTTCACAGGACACAGCTGGAAAGGTGGCCGGGGTCAGGTCCGGGAGCGTCTGTGTGCCCAGCTAAAATGCTCGCACTATTTCCAGAGGCCTGGCCAGGTACTTTAGCCTGTCTCTCTCTGCTTCAATCTGGAAAATGGGTCACAAAGGAGATATTGTTGCCAGATAAATAAAATATAGGACATGCAGTTAAGTTTGAATTTCAAATAAACTGCAAATAAGTTTTTAGTGTACATCTGCCTCTACAATTGCACTGTTCATTGTTTATCTGAAGTTCATAATTAACTACGCATGCTGGATTTTATTTGCTAAATTTGGCCACATTGAAAGAAGATACAACAGAATGTATTTATCTTGATAAATGTTACTCTTGGAGGTTATAAACCTGACCAAGAGCAGAACATTAATTAAAATCAAAGATGTAGCCAAGATATGTCAGCAAAGATAAAAGAATCTATAATCTAGAATTATAAACCTCTATATTTGTAAGCTGTTAAATTATGCTTTACATGCTATGAAATGGGTATAAATATGTTGTATGCTTTACATGCTATGAAATGGGTGTAAATATATATAAATATATCTGTAAGTCATACCTACAGAACATGACAATACAACTACTGTGTCATAAATTTGATCTATTTGAAACTAGTATCCTAGCTGTAATAAAACTTGAAATGTAACAGTAGTTTTGCTTGTTTCAGAGTAAAGAGGCACTTTGTGGGGATGAGTTATGTAATTGTCTTTGCTTTAAAAACAACTTTCTGAGACTTTTGAATTGATTCTCCTTTGCTCTGTAGACTTCCCTGTAGCAAGCAGAGGATCAAAGCATTTTGGTGCAGGGAGTGGTGCATGTATATATAAAGAGAGAGACATACACACACGTATATAAATTGTAGTATATAAATATTTGAAATGCAAAGAATTCAGGGCTTGGGGACAAGGCATGCAGAGAATCTGACACTCCAGCATTTTCATTCTGTTTTTCTTCCTGCTCCTCCTTCCCCGGGCATGCAGGGTGTTGGGGCAGGGCTTGGGCAGAGGAGAAGAGGATGGCATAGGTCCCTCCCCTGGTGAGGGCCAGGGTGTCTAGCTTGGACGGGTGCACGAGCCCCGAGGACAGAGGCCTAGGGGTTTCCAGTGGCAGTGGTTTCCCACCCTGCCACCTCTTGGACTCTTGCTGCCTGGGTAGCTGGTTGCTTGGGCCTTGTGTGCTGAGGAGGGTGTGGTGGGCTGGCCCAGTCAGCCTGGCTGACAAACAGGGACACCTGGGCACCAGGTGGGCCAGGCGAAGGGGGCACCTGGCACATGCTTGAGGATTTGGAGAGAAGGTTTCACCTGATTCTGCAGACAGACGCCCACTATGAAGGGCCCCCCTACTGTAGCCCAGGCTTTCAGAAATACCTTTGCCCTGTGTTTGGGGAGCACTTGGTGGAGTTTCTATGGGCCATATGCTCTGCGGCTTCTTAATTTCAATCAGTTTAAGAAGTCATTTTTATTTCTTTTGTAGACCTAGTCGATGAATTGCCCAAAAGCTGAACACCCCTTTCCACCGTCTAACAAAACTAAACCAGAACTTCTGAAAAAATTCAGTTCCATGACTGGTAGCAGTACTGAGGTTTGGTTGTAGCTCACAGGCATGGTGACATCCTAGGTCACATGAAGTATAGGGGAGAGGCCAGAGTCCTTGGGAACCTAACTTCCCCATCCCTGGGAAGCCGAGGGAGAGGAACCAACCGCAGCGGGAAGAGTTAAGTTACACACTGCTCATGAGGAGACAGAAGCACTCCGAATGCCCACGCCCTGAGCTATAGCATTTTAAAAGTAAAATATTGCACCGCCAGCAGCCACTCAGGGCTCCTGGTGACTGTCACAAGCACAGATGCTCAGTTCCTGGAAAGTGCTGAGAGTCATGCCCACTTTGGTTTTCTCTAGGCAAGGAACTGACATTTTTCCTTCCAAACATGGCATTTAAATGACTTGTGTAAACAGGGCTCCGTTTACGCGGCCTTGTGGTCTGGGCAGCTGTGGCCAGCAGAGCGAGCCCTTCCCCGTGGTGGGAGGGTCCCGGACCAGCCTCCCCGCTGCAGCTGCCAAGCTGGCAGGGGCTGAGTGGTCCCAGGCTAAGCCTGGCCCGGGCTGTCCCCCTCGGAGGGGTCTTTCCTCTCCCGGCCCCTCAGTCTGCCGTCCGCTTTTCAGATCCACGGCACCACTCCAGCACAGTCACTGGGTAGCTGGAGTGCAGACGGTGAGAGCAGGGCTTTGGAAGAGGCCTTAGTGCCAGACGTCCGCGTGGAGGGCACACCGGGCCTGCACGCCATGGCTGCGTTTTCTTGGGAGCACATCTCCTGGCCTGCGTTTTTGATCTTGACATTCTGTCTCAATGTAGGACTGGTGGCCATAAAGGATGCCCAGGACATAGAGACCAGGCTCAACGAGGTGGAGAAGCTGCTGAAGACCGTCGTCAGCCTGCCCTGGAAAGTACGGCGGGCGGGCGGGCGGGCTGGCCAAGTGTCTCGGGTCCGAAGGGCGTCCGCTCCCCGCGCACCTGGCCTGCTGGCGCCGTGGCACAGAGCTGTTGCTTCCGCCGGCCGCCCGGCCGAGCCTCGCGCCGCAGCCTCCTGAGAGCCTGGACGCCGCAGGCGAGGCGCAGGCCGAGGCCTGGCGCAGTCAGCGCGGGGCGTCGCACAGCCCCTGGAGCCGGCGCGGTCGTGTCGGGAGGAGCCGCGCCCCACTCTGGGCGAGCGCTCGGGCCGGGGCGCTTCCGCTCTCAGTGATGCCTGTGTTTCCTCCCAGTATTCCAGGTCGGAAGTCGTGCTCACCTTCTTTGAAAGATCTCCTCTGGATCAGGTGTTAAAAAATGATAATGTCCATAAAATTCAACCCAGCTTCCAAAGTCCGGTCAAAATATCAGGTAAGAGCTGCTGGGAGGGTGTTGGGGGCGGACTGCTGCCGCGGCCGTGGTCCGCAGAAACCTCCCCAGGTGTCTGCACGGTCGGGCACACCCACCGCTGGGCCCAGAGATCCCCGACAGAACTGTGAACACGGGGCGAGAGACTGCTGCCTGAGTTCCGCCAGGCAGCGTGCTTTCCAGCTGCCGTCCACACGCTTCCTCCTTCCACGGGGGTTTGTTCGGCACGCACGTCGGAACTGACTTAAGAGACAGTGTAAAGACGGAAACATTGGCAAGGCGGTCTGCAGCGAATTGCTAGAGCCAGTGAGCAGTCCAGCCTGCTGAAGCAAGAGCTCATAGCACGTGACCCGTGGCCAGGAGGGAGGAGAGGAAAGGCAGCCTGCGCCCACCAGTCCGTGTCGAGTGGAGGACCAAGGAGGGACTCGGAAGACGGTGGGCAGAGAAGGGGGGCAGAGAAGGGGGCTTTGAGCCCAGAGCTGTCTGCTGGGAAGGAACTAGGGAAACAGAGGACAGTGGGACTGGGGAGACAGAGGACAGTGGGGACGGAGTGACTGATGCTGTGGGATGTGAAAGAGCCCTTGCTGAGTTACCTGCCACATCAGGGACAAGATTCCTAATCATGTGCTTGGGAGAGCTGCACTGGGTGGCAGGTTCTGGAGCCTGGAACGGAAGAGGTGTTTGTAGATGTGACGGTGTGTGCAGCGCAGGTGGTACATACACCCGGGCTTGTCTCTGGCGACTGCCCTCCCCCCATCTTTTTAGTCTTTTTTTGGTTTTGTTTTTATTGACCCATAATTTTTGTACATACTTATGGGGTACAGTGTAATGTTAGATGCATGTATATGTTGTGTAAAAATCAAATCAGGACATTTGGCATGTTCATTACCCTATACATGAATCATTCCCCTGTGGTGAGCACATTTAGAATCCTTTCTTCGAGCTGTTTTGATGTATTCCATACAATATTGTTAACCAGTCACCCTCCTGTTCAGTAGAACACCAGGACTTATTCCTCCTGTCTGTCTCTAACTTAGCACCTATTGACCAACCTCCCACTGTGCCCTCTCCCCTCTCAGGCCTCTGAGAGCCACTATTCTACTGTCTACTTCCATGAGACCAGCTTCTGTTGACTCCACACACGAGTGAGATCATGTGGCATTTCTGTTCCTGTGCCTGGCACATGTCACTTAACATGATGTCATCTAAGTGCATCCATGTTGACCCAAATGGTAGGATTTCATTCCTTTTTATGGCTGAATAGTATTCTACCATGCATATGTAATATACATACTGCATTTTCTTTGTCCATTCGCCTATTGATGGGTACTTAGGCTAATTCCATACCTTGGCTGCAGTAAACTTGGGAGTGCAGATAGCTCCTTGACTACCGATTTCATTTCCTCTGGACATACAATCAGTAGTGGATTGCTGAATCATACGGTAGTTCTGTTTCTAATTTTTTGAGGAAACTCCATATTGTTAATGGTTATGATAATATATATTCCCACCAACCGTGTATAAGAGTTATACTTTCTCCACATTTGTGCCAGTATTTATTTTTATCTTTTTGATAATAGCTGTTCTAACAGGTATGAGGTAATATGTCATTATAGTTTTGATTTGCATTTCCCTGATGGTTAGCGATGTTGAGCATTTTTTCATAGTCCAGTAGGCCATTTGTATGTCTTCTTTCGGAAATGTCTATTTACATGTTTTGTCTATTAAGCGGATTACTTGAGTATTTTTACTGTTGAGTTGCTTGAGTTCCTTATACATTCTGGATATTAGCCCCCGTCAGGTACCTAGTTTGCAAATATTTTCTTCCATTCTATAGGTTGTCTTTGCATTGTGTTGTTTCCTTTGGTGAACAGAAGCTTTTTAATCTCATTTGTCTATTTTTGCTTTTGTTGCCTGTGCTTTTGGGTGTTATAAAAATCCTTGCCCAGACCAATGTCATGCAGCATTTCATGTTTTCTTCTAGCAGTCTTATTGTTTCAGGTCTTTATTCCATTTTCAGTTGGTTTTTATATTGGTAAGAGACAGGAGTCTAGCTTCATATTCTGCACATGGATATCCAGTTTTCTCAGCACCACTTATTGAAGAGGGTGTCCTTTCTCCATCATCTATGCTTTGGCACCTTCGCTGAAAATCAGCTGCAAGTGTGTGGATTTATTTTTGTGTTCTCTACTCTGTTCCATTGGTTCGTGTGTCTATTTTTATGCCAGTGCCATGCCAGTACACTGCCACAGCTTTGTAGTGTGTTTTGAAGTGAGGTCGTGCAATGTCGCCAGCATTGTTCTTTTTGCTCAAGATGGCTTTGGCTATTTAGCATCCTTTGTAGTTCCACATGAATTTTAGGATTGTTTCTTCTATTTCTGTGAAGTATATCATTGGTATTTTGATAGGGATTGCGTTGAATCTGCAGATGGCTTTGGGCTTTGCTGCTTTTGATATCTACCCAAGGTAACTTCCTGTGTTAGAGCAGGGAGTATAGGAGCCCCTTCTTAGCTGGCACCTGGTCTCCAGAACCTTCTTTATAGGTTAGGCTAGGTCATTTATCCTGGTTCGGTGTCTGTGGGTCCTAATCTCACAGGGTTCGCTGACGGTTCTGTAATCCCAGTAGTGGTGTTGAGTTTCGCCTTTCATAGCCTGGAGTCTGGGGACGCCTCTGCTCCTTAGTCTGAGTGGGGAGAGTTCTGGCATCCATGGCTCTGTTTTGGGCAAATGAAAGAGCAAAGAGCAGAGGAATCCTCTTAGGCCTTGTGTTGTGGGAGGGGCTGCACCATTGCTCCGGGATGACCTGGAGGCCCCCGAGCGTGAGAGGGACAGACTAGAGCTGCAGGGAGTTGCCTCTGATCTGCTAACTCCTTGTGGAGTTAGCAACAACCCAGAACATTCCCCAGCCCTCTGCCTGCGTGTCCTGCTTTTATCCATGCCTTATATGAACCCATGGCCTGTGTGTATCCTAAAGGGCTGAAAATAATGAGATGGAATTTAACAGGGATAAATGTAGAGTCCCGTGTTGCAGTTTTAAGTATGTTCTCTTTGCCTGTTTGCAAGGGCTGAGGGATAGGTGTTGGCCTGCTGCTGTCCTTGGCCTTCTGTTGTGACTGGGGCACTGTGTTCAGGTCTAGGAGAGCAGGGGTCCTGACCTCCTGTGCAAGTGGGAACCCCCGAGTCACGCAGGGTGCCATGCCTGCCCCAGGAACATGGCAAGAGGAGTCACTGCATCCAGAGAAGAGGCCTGCGATGGGGAGGGGTCGGAAGGGCGGCCGGCTGGGCATGTGGAAGGGCGGCTGGAAGAGGATGCTGCCCTCGGTGTTGGCAGCTGCCACTGGAAGGAGGTCAGGTGGGGCTGGTGCAGGGCCCGTGGGCGGGTGACTGTGGCCGGCTTTGGCTCAGATAGAACCTTCTATCATGGCCATGGAGCCTGTGCGTGGCCTGCGGTTGAGAGTCTCAGAGCAGAGTCTGGGGCTGTGCAGGTGCCACTGCAGGAGCTGGGAGGTATGGGGACAGCCCCTAGCCTCCTGGAGCTGGCGATCCCTGACTCCTCTGGGTGTTTTTTCTCTGTTCTGCTGTGCTGGGGCGTCACTGAGTCTGGGGGTTCCCCTCTGAACCCCATGGGCCTGGCCATCTCCCTTCCGAGGCCGGGTCCTGAGCAGTGAAAGGCCTGGCTTCCTGGCCTAGATTGCGCGTGGGTGGCCAGGGCACGCCCCGGTGAGAAGTGCCTTGAGAGGGCGAACTGCGGCGACCTCAGGGATGCTTTTTAGTGAAACTGCTGTTTACAGTAGCACTGACATCCCTTTGAGAAACAGGCCACGCATGGGCACGCTGTGCTATGGCCGTGGTCCTGCGCTGGAGTGTTTGTGGATTCCCGGGTCCCCGGGTCCCCTGCGTATGCCCACAGGGCTGTCTCTCCCGCCTCCCCTCCCCGGAGCACAAACCTGAGCGCCAATGGCAGTCATCCCAGACTCGGACTTATGAGGTCGTTAATTTTCTTAAACCTTATCCTCAGGATAAAGCCCGGGTCCGTGTACGCCCGAGTGTGGCCCGAGCCAGCCTCTTGATTTTGCCACCTCCGCTGCAAACCCTCGGCCTCCCCCGGACTGCGGCCAGCCGTGGCCTGTTCTGCGGCCCTGTGGTTGGCCTGCTCCCCACTTGTGCTCAGCTGGTGCCAGGCGTTCCCTCGGGCGCCCTGCATGGCCGAGCTCCACCCCCCCCACCCCCCACACCCAACACCACCCACCCCACACTACCCACACCCTACCCCACCCATACCCCACCCAGGCCCCACCCCACCCATGACCCCCTACCCCACCCCACCCACCTCACCCACCCAACCCCACCACACCCACCCCACCCACACCCCACCCACCCCCACACTACCACACCTACCCCACCACCCACCCCACCCAGGCCCAGGCCACCCCACCATGACCCACCCTACCCACCCCACCCACCCTCACCCACCCCAACCCACCACACCCCACCCTACCCACCTCACCCACCCACGACTCACCCACCCACCCCACCACCCAGACATCCCACCCCACCCATCCACGACCCCCCCACCCACCCATCCCCACCTCCACCCCTCACCCCACCCCACCCCCTCCGTTTCTTGCGGTGCTGACACGTGGCATGTAGGGAGGCGGGCGTGGTGGCCGGACACTGGCCTCCTCCCTCCCCCGGGACGTGGGCGTGCGTGCTGCGCCTGCCCCCCCAGCGCCTCCGTCTCTTCGCCAGGTGCAGGCCGGTGGTGTCGGGCGCCCACCAGATGGCGCCAGGCGCCGGCCGTGCGGGAGTCCCGCGCCGTGTGGGCCTCGGCAAGGACGGTCCAAGGACTGTGGCCGTCATGCCGTGGGCCAGCGGGCCTGCCGCGCCTCGCCCTTGCTCAGCTAAATGCCTGTGACGTGCAGGAAACGTGCAGCTGGCCCCTGCAGCGAGAAAGTAAATGCAGACCTCAGCCTCGATTTCAGCCAGAGTCTGATCGGTGAGGTTGGGGGGCGGAAATGAATTATAATTTTATTTTTCCTTAATCCAGTATCTGTACAGTCTCAACCTTAACTTGCCACACAGGGGTAGCCCAGTTAGCCGATTCATAAAAAGGCCCCCACTTCGGCTTTTGTTCCCCTGCTGAAGTACCTTGAAAACACCATAGAAAAGGGGGTTTGGAAGGGAGGGAGCTGCAACACGAAGGCTTCCGGGGCTGCGACTGTGTGCTGAGAGGGGAGGGACGGGAGCTGATGTGAAGGGCTGGAGCCGGCGTGCGTGCGGCACGTGGGGCCTAGCTGCGGTGGGAAAAAGAGAAGTCGCCGCAGGCAAACAGGCACAGTGGTAATTGTCGCCCCCAAAATGACCCATTGATTGACAAACGCTAAGACTACTAGGTGGAAGTTTGAGGGGAAGCAGGATCCGCACGGTCTCAAGCCACCTCGCCCCAAGCAGCGTGGTCACCGCAAAGGGAAGGGCAGTCACCTTTCGGGAGACAGCGGCAGGGGCCGCCTTGCCCAGTGACGCAGGCCGGCCTGCCCAGAAGGAGGGCCTGAGGCCACATGCTCCCCAGCATGCCAGGCGAGCGCGTGCGGCATTGCTGCGCGGGACCCCTGCCAAAAACGCAACGCCCTGTCACTCGGAAACCGCAGACCAACCTAGGCCGAGGGCCGTTTGCTAAAATAGTTCCCCAGTCCTCGCTGAAAGCGTTGGGCCGGGAGAGACGAGGGAAGATAGAGGAGCCGCCAGAGGTGGTGGGAGACCCAGGCACGCCGCTCAGTGCAGGGAGGGCCCTGGAGCGTGCCCAGCGCAGGCACGGGGTGTCAGTGGGAAAGCATGAGCAAAGCAGGTCTTCTGCGAGCTTGTGCCAGTGTTAATTTCCTGGACGTGATCGAGGTAAAATGCCATAGTCATAGAAAACGACGACATTAGGAGAAGCGGGTGAGGGGTATACAAGATCTCTTTCTCTCTCCACCGCTTTTGCAGCTTTTTTGTAATTCTAAAATTAGCTCAAAATTAAAAGTTAAAAAAGGTGAGACATATAAAGCAGGGCTCTTGTTTAGGTGAAAATACACATGTAAAAATGTGGCTTGAAAATTAGCTATTTCATGGAATCGGTTATGTATGCAACTAAAGAATTAAATTGGCAGCAATTTTTGCTATAGTACTGAACTGACTTCTGAGAAATTCACATTTGGAGTATGTTTAAAGAGAGGCTTTGGTCGCTGTAATTTTTCTTTAGTCATAACATTTTCTTCGTTTCTTTTTTATTCATGTCACAGTAGATATGAGGATGTTACCAATAATGGGTGTAATAACTGCTATTTATGGCATATTGCACCTCCAGCATTTGTCAGATTCCTTACACACAGCATCTCCGGTAGTCCACGCCAGTGCCCTTTAGGAAAATACTGTTATTGCCATTCTACAAATGAAGGAGCTGAGCAAGAAGTAACCTGCTCCCCAGACGTAAATGGCAGACCCCCTAAACGGCAGAGTCTGCGTGCTTTTCCATCTGAGAGTGCCTGCCTGAGCCGCATCCACACTGCAGACTCCACACCTGCGAGTGCTGCCAGGGCTGAAGGCACATGGCAAAGTCGCCAGATAGAGCTCGCGACAAGTTCCTCTTCCTTGGTAAGATCATATGCTTAAACTGGTGGTCCCTACATTTAGCGGCTGGCTAGAACTAAATGCCTTTTTGTCTTTTTAAACTTTGGGCCACCATGAATTTGTACAGCTCTACAATTAAGAAATTAAGACTTTTTTTTGTTAAAGTGACCAAATAAATACAAATAATTAAGTGTGGCAGATTGTGCGCTCCGTTTTTAACTGGCACAGGCAGATAGACGCCATGCGTGTTTCCCTAGGTCTTAAGTGTGCCGTGGTCTGATGCTTGCTTATGTATTAAAATATGTATTTAATATGTATTAAAATACATATTAAAATACAATTTGCTGTTCAATAAACCATCCCTTTCCAAACCAGTTTGGAATGAATGTTGGGAAGGTCATGGCAAACCTGCCAGCTACATAACCTGGTTGCCCAGAGGTTATTTGAGGTCCTGGGGCTGATGGAGGTCGGAGGTGGGACCCAGGAGGGACCCAGAGCTTCTGGGACCATCTTTATTGAAATGTGCTGCATCTGAGCGAAGCCTTCTCCGTCAGGGCCTGCGAGAGCGAGGCCGCGCAGGAGGCGCCAGGCGTGCCTTAGTGTCGTCCAGGGCCCAGCCAGACTTGTGAACAATTAAGCCACATTTATGTGCACAAACGCTTCTTGTCATAGGCAGTTAAGGAATGATTTCTGACAAAGCTGTTGGGGGGGCTGATTCCATTTCTAGGGCTTCAAAGTTCATATTTAAGAAAAATCAGGCATGTAAAGTAACTCTTCAGAATTTTGTTCAGAAATGATTTGCAGCAGTGACATTTGTTTTAACTCGTAGCCCTCCCCCCAGATTTCCCTGGCAAAGGGGTGGGAGAAATGGGACAGGCTGTCAGCCAGGTGTGCGGAGGTTGCTTTGAGGTTTTATGTGCTCCCTGAGAAAGACAGATTTGGGTCGGAGTTAATAAAAACAATAAAGAAAGTGGCTCTGTGCTGACACCCATTTTAAATTGAGAGGTGAGAGAATCTTAATCTATCTTGTTAAGATTTAGTGATTTTCAGAGTCGTGCCTGTTCAGCCAGACTTTGGTAAGCGTCTTCTTTCTGCCCTTCTTGCACCTGGAGATGTAGCGACCCAGACCCAGCGCCGACCCCTCACGGGTTTGCAGAGCCCCTTCTCAGGGCCCGGCACCTGCCAGGTGGTCCCGGGAGGAAGGGAGGGACCGCCAGGAACTGACACTCCTGTGAAACACGAGCGGCCCCTTCTCCAAATCGTTAGGCAGAAATTGTATCAGTACTCAGCAAATCTGATTGATGAATTGTCACTTTGATCTCACAAGAAAAAGGAGGAAATCTGTTTTTCTTTCTTCATTTTTGTGTGTTAATAGTTTCTTTCCCTAATTCTCTTCATGTGGAAGGAAGTTCCAGAACTGAGAATTAAATACCTAGGAAGATTAAAAATAAGCAGAAAATGATAACTTCAATTTTTTAAAAAAGCAATTCCCTACTTGGAAATAAACCAATCTAAATTGTGTTAAGGTGTAAGAAAAAAAGTAAAACAATCCCCCAAGCAGCTGAGGCACCGGATGCCCAGCAACACTGGGCGCTGAGCCGTGTTCTCGCCGGGCATGCCGGCAGGGGCCAGCAGGCGCTGTGTGGAGCGGTGCGTTTCGTGTGTTGGGCCCACATGGGAAGCTGAAATCCCTTGGACTGGAGAAGGCCCCAGGAATTTGGAGTGTATTTTAGGCATGACTTTTGCAGTGAGCTCAATAGAGGGCCTGACCTACAAGGACAGAAGTGGTCCTGAGCATGGAGCTCAGCCAACTCCGAGCTGAGGCTGGGATGAGCCGGCTTTACAGGGAGCTGGAGGACTTCGACGCTGGGAGAAATGGTCGTGGTTACTAGATCTGCTCATCTGTGGAGGGAAGTGACTGAAACACAGTCCCTTGGGATCTGTAAATAAGCTACAGCAAATAGTAGGAAGAAGAAGATCAAGCCACACTTGCTTTTTATACTTGAACAGATCAGATGATGTAATGGAATCCGGGAGTTCATGGATCTTCAGAGTCAGAAGGACCCTCAGAGCTTTTCTAATAAATTTTGAGATCTTTCGGTGGAAGAAACTGAGTCTTAAGGGCTCAGAGCTCTTGTCAGGCTCCACATCATCTGTGCCAACCCTTCCAGCCTCGGACGGGCACCAGACTCCTCCCTCCAAAGCTAACACCGTACAGCCAATGTAGACATAGGAAGTTGTTTGTCTTTGTTGCCTTTTCTAAATTTCCAAAATCTGTCTTATTGGGAAGAAATCCATTTAGTTACAGAATTACATAAAGCAAAACAGTGAAAGTCACCCGCTTTCACTGGGGTTTAAAATGCACGCTGATGTCAGTCCATCCGCACACCCACCCAGGTGGTAGAGGCCATTCCTATCTAGCCGCAGGTGAGAGCCCAGAAAGGCGGGTAGCCTGCGGAGGCCACGTGCCTGTGCGTTAGACCTGGTCTTGAACGCAGGTTCGCAGATGTGAGTCCGGTGCTCTTTCGTTCTACCCCAGCTTTAAGCCCATGGGGAAGGGTGTGTGGGGAGATGCTCGGACGGCCAGGGCGTCCTCGTGTGGGGAGTGACATGCCTCCCGGCCCACACAGCGTCAGCAGGCGGCTCCCGTGGGGTTGGCGCCTGCAAGGCAGAGAGGTCTCTTGAGGCTTGGGGGAGAGAGGGGGGCAAGCGGTGGAGGGGAAGGAGGATGATCTGTGTAACCCTGAAACTCAGACCCCTTCTGAACACTTCCCTTATTGCTCTGGTTTTCAGAAATCATGAGGTCCAATGGATTTTGTTTAGCAAATACAGAAACAATAGTTATTGACCACAGTATACCGAACGGAAAAGACCAGCACCTGGGTGTGGATCCTACGGAGCATTTGTAAGTACACTGATTTGAATATCACTTTGCAGGGAATCTCTGAGCCACCAGCCCATGCGGGGCTGGGCTCACTGCCCATGGGGAGGGGCGGATGTGCCCAGCGCCCCCAAGCAGTCCCTGCCCCTATTTGGATACTGGTTTTAAAGTTTGCCTTTTCCAGAGCTGCTGAGATCTTGATTTGAAAACCTGTGGGAAGACCGAGTCACTGGCTGTGAGGGGCATTTGGGAGAAGTTGCAGGGCTCCAGGGCCCGGTCGTGCTGGGCCATGAGGGGTATGGTGGCTCCTCGCCCAGGCCAGTGCCGGGAGGGCCACACGCCCCAGGCTCGAAGGGCCTGGTCTGTCCCCTGGGCCTGAGACGTGCTTGCCTCACGTCCTTGCGGCCCACAGGGTGGAGTCCGGCCCTCAGCCTGCTCTGAGGAGCGGAGGGTGTGTCTGATTACTGAGCTTGGACAGCCAAAGCCTGGACGCTCCTGTCCTCTCTCTCTCCGCCTCTGATAAGAGGACTTTTGGCCACCACGTGAGCTCTAGGTGGCACTTGGAGCACCACGGGGCGCAGCTGCCTTCAGCCGTGGCTCTTGTCCAGGCCTCTCCTTGGCGCATCACTGGGGCCAGCAACCCCAGACAGCGTGGGGGGTCACAACCTGGCTTCTGTCTGTGCCACAGCTAAGTGCAGGCCGTGTCTCGGTTGTGTGAGCTCAGGAAGCTGTCGAGCCTCTCCTGGCTTCTCTCACCCCCAGCGGGGCCGTTCTGCTCTCTCAGGGTGGGCCGCCGTGAAGGCCTGGCAGAGGCAGCTCGGCTGCAGTCTTCCTGGCCCAGGGGCGGCACCGCCCAGGGGTGGCTCGGGTCTAGTCCGCCTGCCACAAGCAGAGGAAACGAGGACTAGGCCGGGCACTCGTGCGAGACCCAGCTCTGGGCCAGTGGCTGCAGGAGACGGTGTGAGCCCAGGAGGAGCCTCCTCTGCTGGGCCCCTGCTCTGTGGCTGAGCACGGGACCCCATCAGGCTCGTGGGACTGGCACCGGCCCGCAGCCCCCACTCTCAGTTCTCGGGTGTCCCTTGGGGGAATGCTGTGAGAGCCCCTCACCATGGCGCTGCCCTGAGCTGCTGGGGAGGCCGTGCCGGGGCGAAGGCCCTCCTGCCCGCCCCTGGCGCCCTGCCCCTCGCCTCACACCCCGCGCGGCTCACGCGCTCGGCTCCTGTGGGTGCCTGCTGCCAGGGCTGGCGCCTGGAGTGCAAGGCTGGGAGGGAGGAAGTGTCCATGGAGGGAGGAAGGACGGTCCCTTAGCTTGGCAGGGGTGTTACCAGCCAGGGAGTATTGGGTGGAGAAGACAGATGGCCGCCCTCCTCAGCCCCAGCTGGGCAGGTCCGAGCTCTGACTCCGCCGCGGTCCCCAGGGGGCCCTATCTGTCCCTGAGAGGCCCCCCTCACCCTGGAACAAGGCCAGATATAAGCAGTTTGGAGCCGAGGAGAAAGGGCAGAAGTGTGGCTTTCCCGCTGCCCAAGGCTCTGTGTGGACGGCAATGACAAATCTTGACTAGGCAGCCACCTGCCCCAGGACACCTGGCTCCCAGGGTGAGAGGGCCAGCGAACATCCCTGTGGTCCCAGGAAAGCCTAACGAAGCAGTGTGCACTCCGTGCTGCCCGGGGAGCAGGAGTTCCCGCCTCTGGCTCGCCGGGCGTCTCTGGTTGCCAGATCTCGGGCAGCACAGCGGGGACGAGGGTCTAGCGCAGGTGCGTCTCTCAGGAGCCACCTGTCTCCACCTTCCACAGGCTGTCAGGCAGGAGGTGCGGGTGACAGGGTTGGAGGTCATGGAGAGATGCCATCCGTGGGGCTGGAGGCCCCAGCCCCCACTGCGGCCATCCACAGAGGCACTCAGGGCTCACCGTCTGCCCACACCTGTGAATCCAGAGCAGGCCGGAGGCAGGGCTCGCGTGACGAGCCACAGCAGGCAGCCCGTGCTCTGGCCCAGGGTAGGGTGGGTCCCAGTGCCCAGGACCACAGACTCGGCTGCACTCAGGGAGTGGGCATGGGATTGGCGGGGACAGCTGCGCCTCTGCCGGTGGCATTCCCGGTTGGCTAAAGGGATGCCCAGCCCCTGGGAGGTCACCAGGGCTGAGGCATTTGGTAGTTCTGCTGGGGGCATGGAGGGCAGATGGATCTAGGCCTCAGGCCCGTGACTCACTTTTCCCAAGCATCCCAACTCTTCTCCTTCCTCATGCCCCTCACCCGGCTTGAGCCCTGCCCACGTGTCCAGAACTCTGCCTTGGGTTTCGGCCCAGCACTGGTTTGGGGGAAGAGATTTAGTTCATTAGGACGCAGTTGGAGAGTTGCTCTCATGTCTGCAAGCCACAGCTGCACTGCTTCCTGTCCACAGCTGGGGCCGTGGCCTCATGCCCCGGGGCGGTGGCCGCAGGGGGCTGAGGCAGGAGCTGGGCACCAAGAGCCAGGCCTCGCGGCTGTTCGGGAAAAGCCTACGTTTGCAGCCTGTTCTGTCCAAACATTTTAAAGCTCTCGTCGCAGCCCCATGGTTTGAGGCCAGCGGGATTCTGTGCGACGTGCTCAGTCTGCACCCAACCCCACGTGCTCCAGCATCTGCAAGCCAGAGGCCTGGGCTGTGCAGCCTGGTCCGTCTGTGCCCTTCCTGGTCGCCCAGAGCTGTGCAGACACAGTTAAGGCCTTACAGCTGCCCACGGGCGAGCACTGGGGACCGACACGGAGACACGGCGGGCGGGGCAGGCTCCCGGGACAGCGGGGAGGCAGCCCGCCACTGTCCACGTGCCCACGTGGCCTGCACGTCCAGCCATGGAGAGTCCACGTCAGGAGGGCTTTCCTGTCCCCGCACGCCCGGACACGTTCCTCCCTCAGCTGCCCCACCCACTCGTCACCTCCGCAGGCCTCGCAGGCTCCTCCCCGGCCTCCTGTCCTGCCCCAGCCTCCTTAGCGCTCGCTGTGTCGGCCACAGCCGGGCGGGAGCCGCAGCCACGGCTGTGCTGCCCGCTCGGAGTCAGGCGCCGCCGGCCGCCCACCCTGGCCCGGCGGGGAGAGCGGGAGGCCAGGCGCAGCGGCGGTCTCCAGGGCAGTCTCAGCCAGAGCTCTGGCCGTGGCCTCGCAGGACCGTCTCACCACCTGTCTGTGTGGCTCCCGCACCCACTGGCTGTGGGGCTGCCACGAGGGTTGGCATGGCCCCGCGCCTCCCACCACCGCCTTCTGCCCGCTCTCCGCCCGTCAGCCGGTCGGTGAGCCCTCACCTCTGTTCTCTCCCACTTCAGGTTTGAGAACGGCAGCGAGTCCCCCTCAGAGGTGGAGGACGGGGACGACCCAGCAGCATATGTCACCAACCTGTCCTATTACCACCTGGTCCCCTTCGAGACGGACATTTTGGACTGAGCCTCGCCGTGGGCCCTCCGGCACCTCGGCCTGGACTGCAGCTCTGGTGCTGGCCGCCGCACGGGCCCAGCCTGGGCCTCCCGGAGGTCCCAGGCCCCACCGGCCATCCACGCTCGCAAGCTGGGTGTCCTGCAGGGGGAGGAGCAGGGGCTTCTGGTGGCTCCGGCTGACCACAAGGTCTGCAGGGACTAAGGGTCGGGTCACAGAGGTCATGGGGCCTGTGCTCGGCGGGGCCTTCTCTCTCCGCGTGTCCCCAGCAGCTTGCTCCTCTGTCCCTGGCCTTGCTCCCTGCACTCGGCGCCTGCAGGGCTGTGTGCTGCCAGGGTGGGCACGGGCCCTGCCGGGCTCTGCTGTCACTGCCTCCCAGGAGGAGCGTCCCTCTTGGCCAGGGGCCAGGGCTGCTGACCACCCAACTCCTCCCCGTTGCTCGCACGTCCAACGCACAAAGTGTTTCAAGGGGGATTTTGACAAGCTGCCACGCTTTGGATGATGCAGGACTCCCTGGGAACCGAGATTCGAGGCCTTTCTATTTTGCTTTTCACCTTCTGTCTGGAAACTGGGTTTGGGTCAACCCAGAGAAGTTTACAGAAGACCGAGCTCAAACAGGGAGTGCCGGCTGCAAGGAGAGCGGAAGTCGGTGAGGTCGGTGCCCACCGGAGCTAGGGCCAAGAGGGGACGATTGTCCCCGAGAGGGAAGGAGGCCTGCGGGCATCTCCTGGCTCAGGCCGGGTGCCCGGTGCTGCAGCCACAGCGACCCTGAAAGGATGGGAATCCAGAGGGAAACTGAGGCTCCACTGCCCCCAGGGGCGGGTCTGGGTGCTGTGAGCTTCTCTCCTCAGTTTTGCTAATGGCCAACATTTGCTAATGTAAATAATAGTAAATTATTGAGAATTCTAATTCTTTTACACAGTCTTTTAAATCTATTTTAATTAAATAAAATCTGTCGCTCTACTTTGGTCTCTTTACGATGCTTATGTGTAAAGGTGTGGTTCTTTTTGTCCCCTGCCCAGGGCAGGGGTGGAAACCAAGTGCTGACCCCTGGGGCTGGCCCCGCACTGTCCTTGTAAGGTGGTTGCTTAGGAAACGTGCTGTGTCCTCACCTCAAGGGATGACCTGTTCCGATGGAAGAATGAAAAAACAGCCTGGTTTTTGTTCTGTTTTGACTTAGGGTTTTCCCTCTTCTCCAGTTTCCTCTTTGGCAGCCAGAGGAAGCCTCTTTGGTGATCCAGCTGCAGAGCATGTGGGATTTCTGTGGAGTTTGCATTGCCTCTTCTGCTGTGCAGCTGCATGCAGTTTAATCCTGATTTCAAATCAGCTCGTAGGTGGCTGACCGGGGCTAGCCAGCTGCCAGATTGACCAGAGTCAAATTCATTCCTGTACAGGATAAGGCCTCTTGCTCAGCGGCTAAGGTTAGAGTTGTTCAACATGTTCATCTAATTCCCGTCCACCTTTCAGTGACTGATTTGTGGATTGTCCTGACTGCATGCTCCCCAGAGTGGACCTGTCCACGTTCTCACCAGCCCACCAGCCCCTGGCATGGCGGCTTCCTTTGCTCAGGCTGGATTTTCCTGTTAAGACCTGAGTTTGACTCCCCACGTCCCCTCTCAGCCTTTACCGAAGGAACTCCACGGTCCCGGTCAGTGCACAACGAGGACTCTCAAGTTGGGTCAGACGTGTGGACATTTGTTGTCCTGTTAAATATAGCAGAGTAGGTCTCTGGTTTCTGATTTTTCTTAGAAAAACCTGGTCTTCTAAGCCCATTCTTCATGTTCCCATGCTTGAAAGAGCCATAAACAAATAAATATTTCTCTAAGCACAGTGATGCGTAGTTAGTGACACTTGGCGTCCCTGGGGGAGGCAGTGTGGCGTGGCGGGGCCTGCGGCAAGCGGCAGCTCACGCACTGCGTCGGAGCAGCCACTGCTGCCGGCTTAGCGGGTTGTCTTGCCTAGAGGTGCGGACCCAGTGTGGCTAGGTCTCCTGCTCTTTCAATAGAAGCTAGAAATCTGATTTTTATGTGAAATATCCCAATTTTGAAGTGTTGGCAAAAGAAGAAACTTGACCGAGTAAAAGAATGAAGAATTTCCAGCCTTTAAACTGTCGGAGACTCAACAGCAGTGCAGTTCAGGCTCACGTGTGGATTTCCACTCTAGCCCACACATTCCTCCAGGGATCTGCTTCTCCCTCTTTGCTCTCACGTCCCTCCTGCTGCCCTGGCAACCAGGAGACCCTGGCAGCAGTGGCCTGGACACTCCTTTTATTACTGACAGTTGGGTGACAGCTACTGTCAAGAGCCTCGTTTACTCCCTTAGGCCCTGCAACGTGGGGTGCAATTCAAACAAACTCTTTTTAGCAAATCAAATCATTTAAGTCACCTAAATATCCTTTTTGAAAAGAAGCTTCAGCAAACATTATTGAAGTTTCCTCTTGTCTGCTTTGTAAATAAATTCTGGATTTTATGTATGACGCTTGCTAAAGTGAAAAATGCACATTGTAAACATTCCCTAGACACACCCCTGACGACACACTGCCCAGCACCTGCCCTCACTGCGGGCGGCGGACAAGCACAGCGACCTGGAAACCGGGCAGACTGTGGGCTCATTGATAGACATACAGCTCTCCTGGACATAACATTTATTAGCAGAAATACATGCAGAGGTGTTGCAGGCAAACCGCCCTGGGCGATGTGTCCTGACTGTCGCCACATTCTCCTCCTCGGGATAGAACACGCTCTTGGATTTCATTTAAAAGAGCATGCTGCCAAATTGTAAGCATTTTTATTGCATCTGGAACTTCTGTCTCAAGTCCATGATGCCTCCTACAGACGAATATTCCACTCTAGGCTAAAGGTTTCACAATGTAGATTTTATTACTCAGGCATGGCAAGGCCAACAGATCAGGAGGCCACTGCCATTGAAAAGACAGTTGCTATACCCCATACCCTAGCAAGAGGAGGGGCATGCCATGCCGTGGAAGCCACTCAGGGAAGTGCCAGGGCGGGTCAGGAGGCAGAGGAAGAAGGCAAACCGTAGCACCAGCCTGTGCTGTGGTTTGTGCAGGAAGGAACAGGAGAGGCAGGTAAACAGGCTTGGGATTGGCCAGTTTGAATAACTGCAGTGGGCTCTGGGACGTAGGACTTGCCCAGTTGTCTGGGACCTGGTTCTGGTCCCAGTGTTTGAGCGCTCGGTAAAGGAGGCGGTTGGGGTGTGGACCCTGGGCTGGGCGTCTGCACGTGCAGGGCACGCAGCGGCTGGGTGCTTCCCTATCTCTAGGGACTGGCTAACTCTTGGCGGGGAGTCCAGGGAGTGCACAGCCCTGAGATGTCAAAGCATCAAATGCAGAAACTTGAATGCATGGTTGTTACGCACACTAATCCCTGTGAAGCCCTAGTTGATGGAGGGATCCGAGTTTATCCTTTGTGGGGGCCCAGAGAAAACCACAAACATGGCATGCCTGTACCTTCATGCAAAAGCCTTCTGACAGGAACAAGGGTTGCTTTGATAAAAATTTGAATGGGTGATATATTCCTGTGGTCCAAAAATTAAAATGATTTAAAAGATTTTCAGCAGAAAGGTTTACTCCCAATCCTGTCCCCAATGTACCCCGGCCCCAGCAATATTGACTAGTTTCTAGTATATCCATTTAATATTTCTTTATGCAAATACCAAACAAATATGTTTTTAGACAATAACTAAAAGAATTCCACTGTAGTCTATATAATTTAGCATTCATAGTCAATAATAATATATCTTAAAGCTATATATATGTGTATATATGTGAGAAACACTTCAAAAATATTAATATATGATCTCCTCAAACTTGTTAGTGTTGCTTCTAATCAAAAGGTGTGAATGGCTAAAGGGCTTGGCTGGTGTGTGTGCAGCATGTCCTATCTTCAATAAGTTTAATTTATTATTCTGGGCAAAGCGTTAGACTTTCTGTTGTTCACTCCTGTTTTGGGGGCGGAGGTGAGGATGGGGGTGGGGGGAGGTGGCCAAGGATGGCGAATTCGCCGCAGGCCAAGGGGATGCTCTTGGTCTCACACACGGAGCAGACCTGTCTTCGTGGACACACTTACCTTAAACAGTCTGGAGGCAGATGCCCAAGCGCCATGCTGGCTGCCCGTTTATTTATTTGCAACAGAAAAAACCAACCCCAAATCAAAGTACTTAGCAGTCATGGCCAGCCAGGGCATTCACTTCCTACAAGTGGGAAAAGTCAAATAATGTTCTAAACCTGGCTCTGTCGATATTGAAATTGTAAGAGAGGGAATTACTTAGATTAACATTACTGGAAATATCGCTGGTACCAAGACTTTGGAGTTTTCATAGAAGGTACGTGACAAAAATTCAATAAATTAGCATTTAAAAAATGACTATATTGTGCTTTTCACCCCTGTGGACAAGTGGAAACGTGACACAGGCAATGGGTTTACTGGAAACGTCTGAGTTGAATGAAGAGACAACAGAACCACTTCACCGATGTAAGCCTCGACATCTGCGGAGTCAGGGTGGCCTGGCCCGTGGACAGCTGGACTGAAGTGTTCAGGTGGCGCTGTGGACAGGACCCCTTCTTGGTCCTGAAGCTTCGTGCTCGCCGGGGACGTTCCTCCAGCAGGAGCCTGTGGCGGGGGACAGCATTTCTGTCTCCGTGCTCTCGCCGCGTCCTCTTGGATGAGCGGTTGTGGCCGACTGCAGGATCAGACACTCGACGTGGGGCCCGCTAGTCGAGATCCCCCCGCCCACCGCACCATGGTACTTGGTGGACACGGAACAAGTTTGCTTCTGCAGCGCTGCCGGGGCTGCCCGCCCTTCCTGGACACCGCGACACGTCAGACAGGTCTCACTCGTGAGTCTCGAGAGCATTGTTTCTAAAGAGAATTAGCGCGTCTCGTTTCCAATCAATTAAGTGTTAATTTTGGAGTACGATTTACAAACGGCAATCTTTTATTATGATTTTAGTTTTTGTAAAGATGTTGTTTGTATTAATACATGCTATAAAATTCACGGAGTACAAGGGTTGCTCATTGAAAAGCTAGTTTCTGCCCACCCTGGTGCCCTGGCCACCCTGTGCCCTTACCTAGGAACAACCACCATTACCAGTTTCCTGGGTAACACTCCAGGAGCATCTAAGAATATAATTTTTTTTAAGTTAGCATACTTTTTCACCTGGATTTTTCACTTACTGATTTGAATGGAGATTATTCATAGAATTATCTCATTCTTTTTATCCAAGTGCATTTATTTAGCTAAGTGCATTTATATAGCTTATGTAAAAAGCTATTTACACTTTTCCTTTATTTCCCCATAAAACTTTCTATTTTTTCTCTTTTAATTTAATTTTGAAAATAGTTAAAACTCTCCCATATTTCAACGTACTAGTCCATGCACTAGTCCAACTATGCATTCACTGCTGAGTGCACCAGACGTTATATTCTCCTTGCTAAGGATGCAGCAATGAAGCATGAAACTTATTTCTAGTGGGGGTGGCGCATGGAGGTCAACGTCAGACAAATAAGTAAACTTCAGACAGTCCCTGACTTGTCCCCAACGAAGGCGAGACTTGCGATTTTCAGCTTTACAATGTGCGAAAGTGTTAGGCACCATCGTGAAGTAGGAGTTATTCTTCAGGTACCCCTACAACCATTCTGTTTTTCACTTTCAGTATAGTATTCAATAAATTACATGAGATATTCAACACTTCATTATAAAATAGGCTTCGTGTTAGATGATTTTGCCCAACTATAGGCTAACGTAAGTGTTCTGAGTACATTTAAGGTAGGCTAGGCTAAGCTATGTCAGATGTAGTAAATGGATTTTCAGCTTAGTATATTTTTGAGACATGGCCCCACCATAAGTCTAGGAGATCTCTCTCCTAGACTAGTAAATAGAATGCTCTGAGAAGAAGGTAAACTGGAGAACACTAAGCAAGGATGAAGAGGATGAGGGTGGTGATTGCAATGTTAAA